TTTTTTTTTTTGTACGCGCCGTTGTCGTTGACCATCCTCGCGGGTCTTCACGCCGCTGCGAACTGCGAACACCACTTGGCAGTTAGCTGCGTTGTCGTGACGATTTGTTTGTCGCACGTTGGCCGCCGAAAAGTTGTGTTGACGGTGTGCTCGTCGGCCATCCATCCACCATCGTTGGCGCTCGCACGAAGCATCATAACCGCGACTCGCGCACACCGTAGACCGCAAGCGTTCGAGCATCGATTATTCTCACCCCGCCGCCGTCAGGTCAAATGTATGTATTGCCACTTTTAATCGGCGCGGTTGTTGGTACCAGTTACCTGGCTGTGCGTGTTATTTTGTTTTTATATCTTATGAATTATTATTTGAATTTATTGCATAATGATGGCACACGATGTTTAGGTTGCCGTCATTGATTTAGACTGCCAGAGCCAATTTTGTTTCTTAGCTGTAAGATTTAAGGGCGCCCGATTTAATTATTATTATTTGTATTTATTATATTTATGCGCTCAGCGCTTTACACCTAATTCGGATTTGTTTGTTTGCGAGATTTGTATCAATTAAAATTGAGACAGAATTACATACTACAAGTAAAAACAAAAATAAATATTTTAGTTATGCTATTGTAATTTAAAAATATTATTCATGGACGCTTGAACTTTATAGAGTATATTATTATATTTTAAACGAACAATGACATTTTGAAATGCAATTTTTTCGATAAAAAATGAATTTAATTTATCTATGGTACCTAATATTGTTATGACTAATAGTCAGATATATTACATTAATCACAATAATATCATAAAATGGCTGCATCCGAATTGCGTGCCAAAAAAATGAGCAGTTTTGGTCAACAACCGAATTGCGTGCGCAGTTTTTATATGACAGGGTGGAGTTGCGTGTGAGTATTTTTTGAGACAGGTCCGAATTGCGTGCGTTAAAGTTTGAGTAGACGACCGGGGTTTTAATCAGTTTAAAAGGTCGTCGACCTTTACATATTATGCTGTAAAAGTACTAATATAAATATAACTATATAGTAAATTCAATACAGGTACCTACTGTATCTTGGGTTTTCTCCAGCGAATGGCTAGAATAGTAAATGGCGATTAGATATGAGTACATGGCTATAATATGATAAGTATATTATAACGATTTTAGAAAATTGAATTCAATATTTTGACTTGTTTATTTTTGGCATTGCATTAACAATTTTTGATTAATTTTTAAAACTGTTTTTTTTTTTATTGTGATTTTTGAACTTAAGGTTTTAATTGTCGATCCTAACTTTATTTTTAACTGTTATTTATTGAATTAATACTATATTTTTGATCCCCTCTCCCCCATAAGCTCTAAAAAATAAAATTTAGTTGTATATTAGTATATAATTAATTTATTATTAAATTTTAAAATTTTAAAATTAAAAATGTATTTATTTTTTTTTAAAACAATAAAAAAATATTTGATATAAATAAAAATAAATAAGTATAAAATGGCGTCAGGGGGCGCACGCAACTCAGCTCAGTTGCGAATAAACTACGCACGCAACTCAACCTAAATAATAATTTTCGCATGCAATTCGGAAACACCGGTGAACATGCTAGAAGGGAATGAATCACAACATACACCTGTAGAGTTAAGTGTGCCGCTGCCGAGGAGTCATGCAACCTACTAATGTAATTGAAAATGCATACTTGGACGCTGCTACAAAATATTACTAAATTTCAAAAGGTTTTGAGTGTTGAAAGTTTAAAAAAAGTTTGTTTTTAGTTTTGCTATTAAAATTATAAATGGGTAAAGGTTATACCTATAATATTAAAGTATTAAAGTTAAAAATTTTAATAATATTAAGAGGACGTGATACCAAAAGTGTTACCGTTACGTATGCAACGGCCGAGAGAACGCGCTATTAAGCCGTGGTTTCCTACAATCACGCGTGCGTGATTGCGCGGTGCTCTATGCGTGATCGCGTAAAAGTTTAAACCACGAAGAACTATTTAAGTGTTTATTAATAATTGCGATTGTCGATCGCGCACTTCAGTCAACTTCTGCGTGAAACGCATTGCGGGATTGCATTTATTTATTATATATTAATATATTATTATGATTTATTATATATTATTTAATTAATTTATTATTGTATTACATGTTTTATTTACTTTTTATTATCAATATCAAGTCAAATCAAACGGCAGGTAGAAGTAAGTAAGAATAATTTTCAAATATAAGCTATATAAATAACAAATAATTTTTTTTTTTTGTAAATTATTACAATTTTCAATATCTTTTTTTAATTAGTTTTGGTGAAATATAATAATGAAAACTGTGGACACTTGTGTTTAAAATTTTTATCATGTATACGATAACATTAAACGGGAACTCTAGTGAGTTGTCATGCGAGATCTTTCCACCGTTGGAAGTAGAAAATACTGCACAAATGTGCCTGCTGAGCTTACAGACAAATAATTCGATACCAAACATAGAACCGGGTTGTAATACTATCAGTTTTCGTAGTTCATTTGATCAAAAACATAACGTTTTTATACCTACGGGCTCGTATGAGTTGAATAATAATTTAGAGTCTGTTATACAAAAAATGATGCCCGACTATATCACTTTTTTTTAACTAAAAGCAAACAGCAATACATTAAAGTGCGTGATTTCGTGTAGTCATGAAATAGACTTATCAGTGGAAAATAGTATAGCAAAATTGTTGGGCTTTAGAAATGTACTATATACTACTGGTGCTAGCCACGAATCTGAAAATACAGTCAACATAATGAAAATAAACTGTATAAAAGTAGAGTATAATCTAATCACAGGCTCATTCTGTGACGGAGCACCGAACCAGACCATACACGAGCTTTATCCTACTGTTTCTGCGGGATATAAAATCATTGAAGTACCTAGGCATCTAGTTTTTTATGGTCTCAATACGACTTCAATAACTAAAGTAAATATCGCGCTAAAAGATCAGAACAATAGTCTGATTAATCTGCGTGTTGAGCCTATCACAATTCGTTTACAAATAACGCGTGGATATGGCACTAATATTTAATATAAAAAGAGCTACAATCAAAAAACCTATCAGTTTACCGACTGCCGTTAAGAAGTCTACATCTAAACCAAAAAATATCAAGCTCACGAAAAATAATTTAAATTTTCTTCGTTCTTTACAATGATGGATGACTCTTATTTAGACGTGACGGCCGACTATGTCGACGATTGTAAAATAACTCAAAAGAGTTACCATTCGTTCACACCGTATTCAAGCTCCGCTTTATCATAAAATGAAGAAATTAGAATTAATGTTCAGAACATGGATTCTTACACTTTGCCGTGTGAGAGTTATATTTTCATCGAGGGTAAAATAAATAAACCTACCGATGCAGTGGGGGGAGTTCGTTTTTCAAATAACGGATTGGCATTTTTATCCTCTGAAATGCGATATGAAATAAACGGAATAGAAATACAGAAATTGAAATCACCTGGAATTGCGTCTTGTTTGAAAGCATACTGCTCATATACTCCAAACGATTTGAATGCGGTAGAGAACGTGGCTTGGGACTCGGCAATGGATAGTGAAGATAATAAAAATTTTATGACCAATAATATATTTTCCGGATGTATTTTTCTAAAACATGTATTCGGATTTTGTGAAGATTATAAAAAAATATTACTCAATTGCAATCAGCAACTGATTTTGAATCGTGCATCTACCGACCTTGATGCGATACATGTTGTGGGTGAAGGCGCAACCGCTGCTGTCGATAAAAATAAAAAAATTACAATTGAACTGACTAAGGTGACTTGGAAGATGCCTATTATCAAAGTCAGTGATAAAGAAAAATTAAAGTTATTGAAAGTATTAGATTCTCGTAAAACACTATCGTGCGCGTTCAGATCCTGGGATCTCTGTGAATATCCAGTGCTCCCTAGAAATACTTCTCATTCGTGGACAGTAAAGTCTAGCAGTTTGCTCGAATAACCTAGATTTGTTTTATTTGGATTACAAACAAGCAGAAAAAACAATATCGAAACTGACGCCGGGCGGTTTGATCACTGTCAACTAAAAAATCTTAAGGTACACTTAAATTCTGAGGTGTATCCATATGAAGACTTTCGAGCTGATTTTAAAAATAATACCACCAGTATACTCTACAAAGCTTATACAGACTTTCAAAAATCGTATTACGAAAGAGATTATTGTGAACCATTATTATCAAAACATATTTTTCAAAACTATGTGCCAATCTTTGTTGTTGATTTGTCGTACCAGTATGATAACGTTAAATCATCGACCGTGGACCTACGAATAGACTTTGAAACCGACACAGTTATTCCAGAAAAGACTGCAGCTTATTGTTTAATACTACATGATCAGATTATAACTTATAATCCGTTTAGTGGAGATGTTAGAAAATTGTAAACCTTGTATATATTTTATAATTTTATACCTTGTATATACCTTGTCTTAAATATAAATTGAAAACCTCATTGTAAAAACTTAATCTAATAAATAAAAAAACTTGTTTTTAAATATCACGCTTGTTTTTTTATTTTACACAAAATTTATTTAAACAACATCATTCAAACAGTTTGCGTTTCGCGTTCCGTTTTTTCGTGGGCTTGCCTCCTGTGAAGTCGAGAATCGATGGCGAGTGTTTTAAATACGTTGGACCGTCGTTTTCGTCCACTGCAGTGCTCGTTTCAGGCGCTGTATACCACGGAGGGGGCTGAGCGAAATTCTCTGGATCAAAGTATGGGGGAAGAGTGTCTATGATCACCGGTGGTAGACTGGTAGAATCATCAATATTCTATACAAATAATAATTTGTTAATATATATTTTATTTTAAAAATTAAATGTGAGTATTACCAATGACTTGGTTGGTACCCGTGTCGCCTGTGTAGTACTCGTTGAAGTAGATTTTACACGGTTATTATACCATAGGGGATACTGTGTAAAATTGTCCGAATCATGTACTGTAGAATCTATGATAACTGGTGGTATACTGGTAGAATCATCAATATGCTATACAAATAATAATTTGTTAATACATATTTTATTTTAAAAATCAAATGTGAAAATTACCAATGACTTGGTTGGTACCCATGTCGCCTGTGTAGGGTTTATTTGCGTAAAACAGTTAGAAGTTTCCTCGTCAGCTGCCTACAAAATTATGAAAATTAATACTTAAACTATTTACACTTATAAGTTATAAATCACTTGTGCCTGCGAAGGGTCAAAAACATTATCATTATACATTGGGGACATGCTCGAGTATTGAGGCGGCGACAAGGGTGAAATGAGCCTCATTTCGGATTCAGTGAATAACTATAAAATAATAAAATACATTAAAAATTTTTACAAGTGAATAAGTTTCAAAGACTTACCTCTGGCGAGTTTTCACCGCTCCACCGCTGTGACCATTGATCAGCTAATTGCCTTGTTGCAAACATTTTAAGTTGACTGATGAAATTCATGTCTTCTTTAGGAGCGGAACCAATAATTTTACAATCACTAAAATTTTTAATAAAAATGATCATTTCTTCGGGTGTTTTTGGTGGTGAATCAACTTTGGTGAATTCCTGGTCCAAATAATTACCAATAATCTCAAACTGTTTTAAGACGAGTGGTCGTATGATGGTTGACTTTCGAACGACTGTTTCAACAACGCACCATTCTAAATATTTCAGTTTCATTAAATCTGTCCTATTTAGCAATACTCGACATCCGGCTTGTGTATTTGATTCGACGACAAGCATATTTTCCCCTTGATACACCATACTAGACAGCGAAATAATTTCGGTTTCCAGAAATAAATTTCGCTTATATTTTAGCGGTTGATCCAAAATAAACGACAATATATTTCCCATCAGTGAAAATATATGTCTTAGAAAGTCGGCTGACATATTAATATACCGCGATGGAGTGATTATTTGCACTATGGTGTTGAATTCGTCCGTAGGATCAAGTCCTACATTCAAAAACTTACGAGCTGCAAAGTCGAGTGTGTAGCTTGTGGAATCGATGAGATCCGCGGGCGGTGCTGGAGGCACATACGTGAAATTCTTCTTGTACACTTTAGCCATGTTTCCAATTGAGCCAGCCATGATTCAAATTATTTTTGAAAAAACACACACTTTAAAAATCATTAAAATTTATAAAGACGGAGCGAAAAATAAGTGTTCACCAGTTTAAGGCAGCAGACGGACTAAACGGCTACCGACTCCTTAGGTCAGGAGTTTCTATAATAAGTGGGGGTCATTAGTCAGGAGTCTCTATAATAGGTGGGAACATTTTTCAATATTAATGGATTTTGCTGGGATGTGATTGATTGAAAAGTAATTATTATTCGCCGGTTTCTTTTTTTTTTTTTTGTACTGTTTTCTTGATCATCAGCCTCAAGGTTGATACCTTTTTTTATAAATAATTTATAAGTTTTCATACCCTCAATCCATACACGACATCTGCGACTATATTGTGTACGATCTGTTTTTGATAATGTTAATTCACGATAACCGTGATCGTCCGTCATTTCTGTTGTTTGTGGCTATCCTTGTTTTGGGTCTTGTGACTCCAGTCTCAAACACCACCATCACCTCAAGACTGGCTCACCGCGACCACCATCACCGCCGTAGCCACGTCAAGGCCTTATCCCCGAAACCAATCAAAACTAGATCTAAAGATCCATTTTTAATTACCACCTAAGTCGAGCTCGAAGAACCACAGAAAATACGTTTGGCATAATGTGTCAATACTTTCGTGTATTTATCACGCCAATTAATATTCTGCCTGACACAGTCGACAATTTAATAATGGCCGCATGTATTATCCATAACCTGTTACGAGAAGAACGAATGGTGTGTCCTATGGATTCGACAGACAGAGATCCCATAACAGACGTTCAAACGAACACGAACATGATACACTTTGGTGCAGTTGGAGGAAACGCAACTCATGAAGCTTTTCGAGTTCGGGAAACTTTTAAAGATTATTTTAACAGTAGGTCAGGATCAGTGAGTTGTTTTTTTTTTTTATTAAGAAAAAGACAATCTATACACCTAGTCTGTACAATAAGTCATTAAGTTAACAATTAGAGATGGACATAACATGATTCACATGATAGGGGAAGTCACCAACTAGTAATACCCCTCAAAAGGATCAGTGAGTTGGCAGCAAAAACACGTGACTCGTACTAATTAAGATAATGTTAGTAGGATAAAAAGGAGAGTTCAAAACCCTGATCCACTGATCCCACTGATCCGCCGCCACCGCCGAGGAGAGTTCTGAAACCCTGATCCACTGATCCCACCGATCCGCCGCCGCCGCCAAGGAGAGTTCTGAAACCCTGATCCTACTGATCCGCCGCCGCCCGCCACCACCGCCGATTGCTTACGTGCGCAACATACATGTTATCAGTTATCATTTGTTATCATATACTTTTATCACACACGGTATCAATCATATATTTAATATACATGTATTTTTTTTACTATTCTAATCATATATATTATTGTAATCAGTTATCATTTTGTTATCATATATTTTTGCCGCTGGCGTACGTGCGCTACAAACATAATCAGTTATCAAATGTTATCAGTTATCACAAATGTTATCTTTTGCCGCCGTTATCACATCGCAGTTCTCCCCCGGTTATCAAATAAATTGTTATAATTTTTCACTCGCGCGCATATGACAACATGCTTAACGCACTCTTTATTATTTTAACAACGTATAGTTCCCTCTTAAGTATACAAAAATATAACCCAACCTTAATGCGATCTGCTTTACCGTTCACCAGGATGTCGCACACTAATGATATTAAAATGGCTATTAGTGAATAACACACATTAATAACTTTTGTATATAAAATGTCGTGTTCGCTCGTGGCGCCGACTCATAATGGCCACAATGGATATTTATATTGAAAGATACTTTCGACATTAGGTATCCTTATTCAATTAAATATACTGCAAAACCATTTATATGTGGCAAGACTACATCAGCGTTTGGTAAACATTTTGGTTCTGGAAATTTGAATTCTTTCTGTTGACATTGATTTGCCCAAATTAGATTTAGGGAAAATTCCTGCATCGCCTTCTTTACCATACAATCTCCTATGTCTACCACCAGAAACTTGTTATTCGCGTCAACTAAAGCCAATAACACAATTGAAAAAAATGACTTGTAATTAAAAAACAGCGATCCAGAGTTATCAGAGAAAACGATCCGTATGTGCTTCCCATCGTATGTGCAATTTGAAAAATTCCACATTTCAATGAAATCGTTGGCTACTTTCGACAAACTACATTGCGTTGGTTCAGGTATTGCCATATTTTTTAGACGATGACAAATAGCAACTAATACTTCCCTTATAATAGTACTTATCCAACTGTGAGATATTCGGAATTGAAAAGCAAGGGATCTATAACTTTCACCGGTTGCTAAAAATCTGTAAAATATAAATAATACACTAAAATTATTTTTAGTAAATGATTGTAAGACAAGATGGCGCACAATAAGAGATTCATATAAAAAAAATTTAAAGAAACGAAGATTAGGTACCGGTTCAGCAGCTGCAACAAGATCGAAGTACAATGACGATTCATTACGTTTTTTAGATAACATCAAAAACGAAAGAAGGTAAACAATTTTATGTCGTATATTATTATGTATTATATTGTATTGAATTTTTAAACCTTAGATAAGGATTATAAAAATGTTATGAATTTTTAACTACAAGGTTAATTGTACATTTTTTTTTGAAAACAGAAAACAATTAAGAAACTTAGCTGTAAAATCAATACATTTTATGTTTATGTGTATTTTTTATGTGTAATTATTTTCAGAACTACATCGAACATTTCAGTAGAAAAAAGACTGCAATGACAACATAAACTACTCAGAAATGGCCGTAAATGATAGTTTTGACCAAATTGAAGAAATCGAGCCAGAGAAACTGTTACTTAAAAGTTCTGAACCATTATTAGATATGCCCATTGATGACAAACTACCAAATACAGAAATAAACCATAGTTTGATAGATTCATTTACAAAACCGTGCGAAAAAAAAACAACACCAAGAGATCAAGATAAGATATTAGATGAAATTAAAAAAGGACGAGAGGAGCGATTGGTGGCGTTAAGAGAAATGAAACAACAAGAATCTATTGATCCAATTCAAACCAGGCCCGTAGTCACGGGGGGGGGGAGGGTAAGGAGAATAACAAATGATGAAAATTTGGTTATTATAGTGAAGCAATTAATTGAAATAATAAGTAAAAATTAAATCAATAAATAACAAGAATTTTATTTCAACTCATGAAAATATGTTAGTAATTTTTTTTTTATGTCACTAGACATCATTATAATTATTTATATAAAAGTATCAATTTCTTTTTTTTTCAATTGCAAAGGTTGTTTTGTTCAAGTTTTTTGTTTTTAATTAATATGTTTAAAGTCAACTATTACTATTAAATGTTACTTAGGATAGTTTTTTGTTGTTGTATCAGTTTACTTATTAGAGTGATAAATATGATTTGTATAAAAATGTTAGTAGTTTATTTGTTTAATGTGTAAAATCTATAAACAATTATGTCATTAGTACTAAGTCAAGAGAATAGATTGATTGTATATGTATTCGTTATGTGTATATATTAACGAAATAAATAATTTTCATACTGGTTTCAAATAACTTTTATTAATTATTTATTGAACATCTATAACTATATTTATGAATATAGTTTTAAAATTATTTTTTTGATTAAGTATAATTTATTGGTCACCGTCGATATAATCTGGAAACCAGCTTGATATCAATTGTATTTGAACTCTCATCGTAACTATTCTTGGTCCTCTTCTTTCAATTATTTCATTATGTCTCTCAATATTTTCATATTGTTGTTCTTGTTCAATTTGTTGAATAGGTAGACGATACTGAATTCGCATGTTGTGTATGACAGCACATGCATTTACTATTTTTCCTGCCATTTCAGGTGTATATGTTACGGTCAAAAGCCGAAATCGGGCAAACCTCAGAAATGCCCGGGCAAAACGCGAACTGCCCACAATCCTTGGGCAAAATGTCATATTTCGGCTTTTGACCGGGCAAACCTAGTTATGACCAACCTCATTTGGGCAAAACCGTATACTGACTTTTATCGTAATGGCAAAACCGTAGTGTCTTATATACGTTCTATAATATTAAATACAAATATAATTGATTACAGATATAATTGAATACACTTAAATAATAATAATATTACGTACTCGTATAATGTTAAAATAAATAATTAATAAAAAATATTGTACTGATATAATTGAATACACTTAAATAATAATAAAAATATAATGATGTTAAGTACTCGTTTAATAAAAAAATAATATTTTTGTTTATTTGTTGCTACACATATTAGAACCATGGCATTTAGAACTACACAAAATATTTAGTTGTTTACATTTGCATCGTCTCGTAGTGCACTTAGTTTTGCAAGAACAAAAAATAAACCCTTGTCCTCCAGTTAATGAATTTTGAGTACTAGCAGTCCTCAGTGGTATTTCGATATTCGGTACATCATTGCTACTAATAAATTGTTCCTTGCATTGAAATATTTGGTTTCTGGCATAAAGTGATGACATAATTCCATTTTTGGTTCCTATTTTATAGAATCCATCATCAGTAACACTTAATATAACACCTAACACATTATTTGCATCGACTTTTCCTCTATCAACACAAGGCACTGGAATTTTCACTGTCGTTTCGACTGTTAGAGNTTATGCACATTTACTATATTATTTAGTCTGAAGATGTAGAACGTATGGCTGCAGGAGATATTACCATTTTAGATGCAGTACCTATTAGGTTAACAATGAGACCAGATATTGATCACAACAGTAATTATTTAACTACTCGTTCTTAGAAAACAATTCTTTAAGGACAATAAATTTTCTAAGATATGTATCATTTAATGTAGGTCATGATGATAACTTCTTGCTTAGTGAGGAAAACTTAAACAATGTTGAGCAGGAAAGCATTGATTTTGATGAAAATATTATTGTTGAAGAAACATCATTCATTGCACCTACAACTAGTATACTTCTGACCCCA